ATATATATATATGTATGTATGTATGTATGTATGTATGTAGACAAAATGATTATTTAACGTCTTAGCGTTATATGACACTTAAGCACACACTTGAATAATAAAAGAGAAATAGAATGAGACATATCAAATGTTTATATGGAAAATCCTAAAAATAAGAGAAAATCACCTGGCTTAGCCCAATTGAAATAATTTACTATGAATGGTGAAAACACATCTCAACTCTTATCTTTAATTAGAAAAGATGAAATTATAAAGTTAATCATTGTAAATGTATAACATTAATTAATTGATAATAATAGTAGTTTGACTATAATGAGTGTAGTTCTAGGTGATAACAAATATCAATGTTCGTAGTCAGGCGTTATGGAGGCAGTTGTTTGTTGTGAATGTTGCAGATAGTTGTTGTAGCGTCAACTTATCTCATAGGTCGTAGTTGAAAGTCATGGTAGTAGTTGGTCGTGTAGATCACATGCAGTTGCTTAAGGATTTTCAATGGTTATAGACACTGCAGTAGGAAGTTGCATGAGCTGTGAGCCTCCTAGGGCGTAGTTGGTCACAAAGGCCATAGTGGTGAACTATGATCATGCCCGTAGGCGGTAGGGGCCAAAGTTGAGAGATGTAAGAGTTGTGAGCCATGTTGGACGTAGTTTATCACATAGTTTATAATAGTAAGTTATGATGATGTCCGCAGGCCGCAGATATCAGAGTCAGGAGTCACACGAGCTATGAGCCACGTAGGCCATAGTTCGTTACGTATGCATATTAGTGAGCCACGATGACGTATGTAGGACACATGAGCTAGAGTTGAGAATTGCACAGACTATTTTCCATGTAGGTAATTATTTGTCATATAGGCCACAGTAGTGAGTTGTAATAACGTTTGTAGGCTAAGGGTCAGACTCAATAACTGTGCAAACTGTGAGCCACATAAGCTATAACAGAGAGCTGCAAGGAGAGAGCTTTATGAGTCCAGAGAAAATCATTGTCTTGGGTTGCATTGTTAAACTGTATTATAGAGGCGTCGTTACATCGTATGTAGGGTGTATTATTACATCATCTTTGGAGGTGTCGTTGCACTATAAGAAACCTGTCTTGTTGTACGATCTTCGGGAAGCGTCATTGTATAATGTACCAGATGATGTATTACTCCGCCAATGCTCCATTGTTTTGTAACATGCATGTTGACCTCACTTTTGGTTGAGGTCTAGAAACTTCTTTAGTAGCCTAGGTCTAGCCATAAGACTTTCCTATTGACTAGTCTTAGAAAATTAGAAAAGGTACCCCCACTATTAGAAATTCAAAACTCTTCTTTTTACTCAACTTGAAATTCCACATATTGATCTTAACCTCTAGCATTTAGTAGGTAAGATCATTATAAGAGAATTCAAGAAGAGTCCCTATAGGATTACTTGGCTTTAGGGTCGACCTTGGGTGGTGACTTGGAACTAGGATACACCATATCTTCACAATGCATTAATCCATGGTTCATTTAGAATGGATATCTATCCAATTCTATGTGAAATGCCTAACTGATCCCTTGCCCCTAGGCACCTCCAAATTACCTAACTGCCCTTGGTACCCAAATTTGGCTAATATTCCCAAATTTTGCCAAAATACCCAAAATTGATCAAAACTCATTCCAAACACTTTGAATACATC